GTCAGTGAGGAAATTTTATCGTTCTACTAAGTYTTAAACTGTCGCATACTTTATTCACACACTTTTTTTTAGACCAAAGTCTGGAATATGATATGATCCCCACTTTCCAAACAAATCAACGCTTCAATTAGCCTAAAGGAAAATGTAACTGTGCGCACACTTATCGCACATCAAGTCCTCTTTTAATAAAAATATGTTCATTTCAATCAACCCACTGGCCTAAATACCTCTATTAACTTGCCCATTTGTTGCAATCAATTACTTTGAACTCCATTCATGCCTTTAAAATGGCAATGACACAGAAAAGTTACTTTTAAATCTTAAATGCTTAAAATTTAAAGTCTTACGAAAAGAGAAAATCTACAGCGCTGCTACTATAAAAATATAGCACACCAACGTATTGAAAAAAACTTGGCAACTAGTTTGGGTCTGGCTGAAAAGTCGTGTGAATTAGAATGGAGTAAGAGGTGCTTAATAAAAGGTGTGTTCTTAAATCATAGAGAAAGGAAATAATTTGAAATTTGTATTCAAATTATCTTACGATTTCACRTATTATTTAAGAAGGTTATTATTTTAGAGTGAGACTCACTGATGAGATATCTRTTTAGTAGCTAGCATGCTACAATTTCTCTAAACCTGCTTCATGTTAGTGATTCTGGTATTTAACGTCATACACGCTAAACGTGCTCTTAAGGATTTGAATTACCTATTATATAAATATAAAATAATATAAATCGTAATGTATTTCAAAAAATTTCCCGATGCAGACTGAAAATTTAAAAGATTTGAATTGATTGTATAGTGACACCGCTTTTGAACTCAAAACCAACTAGAGCCTTATAGACTGGAGGTGGCACCTACAGCTATGAATATTGTATTTCAGCTTAGCACAGCTTGCGTACTTAAATACCAATTCACTACAATTAATTACAACCCTTATGCGGGCATATACCAAGTTGTCCTTTTAGTGCTCCTAATGAATGTGTAAGCAAGGAATTGTTTATCCTGGCATCTCACACTACCGTCCTTGGCACGCGCTCATCAACGCTCACAAAGCAATCAGATTTTAGTGGCTACAAAGTCAAAGTTCGTATTCGTGCAATTGGCAGTTGGCATTTGATGAATCCGCCGACCCAGGCGAATAATTCAATAGGCTTTGTGTTAAATTAACCTGTTCGTGCTTCAGAATTTGACCGAAGGCAAACACAGCAAGTAAATAGCGGTCAACTACACTAAGGAATGCTTAGAAATTTAAATACCCTTTATGCTGTTAGGAGACAACCGAGATCATGCTACAAAATATTTCTTTCAAATGCAATATGAATTAATATCAAAATTAATAAATAATTACTATGGAATCCACGAAAGTAACCATGAAAATTGAATGAGAATACCAATTACTACTATAAAACCAACGTTTTTACTTTTACTTCATATGGAGGGTATATTCAATTTAAAAGAAAGACTGCATACTTCTAAATTCCCTAACCAAAGTCGAACACTTAAATAAGCTTTACAGACAAGAGGAATAAATATGTAWGTATGAAGAATGTACCCCAACCTTTTGTTGGCATAAGCGGTTGCAAATAATGACAAAGATTCATTAAAACGTAACCCAAACAAAACAAATACAGGAGACGATGAAGCCTATTTCGCGGCGTAGACCAAATTTAATTGCTTTTGGAGTAKAAAGCGCTAACGCTTGTCGCGTGGCATAAATGCTCGTGGTAGGGAAATTGTTTCTTACGAGCTTCTGTGTTGACGCTGTTATACCCAAAACTGCTTCACTTAATGCAACCTTTCCTTTTTCATTCTCAATGCTACGAGAGTGAATGGATAATTACGAAGGAATTGAAACAAATTATATATTACTTTTCATATTATATTTATCTTGAGAGAAATGGGCGCTCACCTCCATCTCTGGTTTCTAAAGATCTACTTTTCTTTTTTATATTACTTCCGTTTTTATACTCTCGCAACAAAGTTGCTAAAGAGAGTATTATAGTTTTGTTCACATCACGGTTGTTTGTAAGTCCTAAAACTAAAAGAGTCAGATATAGGGTTATATATACCAAAGTGATCAGGG